CAAAGCATACCCCCTTTTTTTTTTAAAGTAAATTCAAACAAGCCAAAATGATTCATCAAGAATTAGCCACTTGGCTGTTAAGCAAATGCATATGGGAAAAACACTAAATTTTTTTTACATTTAAATTACACTCAATTCATCAGAAGTAGTTTTCATTGTCTTTCCCTCAATCATGTTATACAATGTATATACTAGGAAGGTATTGTGATTGGCGAAGCTATTTTCAACTGCCATTTGAAATTTATTTAAAAAAATAAAAAAATGTCTTGTCTAATTGAAATTCAGTGTTTCACAGGTGGATGTTAATCACTATATCCATAGATACTATATCCCAGACAGACTGTTATGTCAACTTTAACGGCGTACAAAACGTATGATACATCATTTTGTATCTCATTTTGATTTGCTTAGATTTGGTGTGAGTTGTACATCATTGATGGGAAGTAAAGTGTTGAAAGATGTCATTTTCAATACTAGTACCGGTAGTTGCGATAGTCAAAAATTAGTTTCGGTAAAAATGCAATAAAACTTTTATTTTATTCGGCCTTATTATTCATACTTTATGAATATAGAAGTATAAAAGTATAAAATCTACTAGGACTTTTACCCAAAAAGTGACAAAACTGAGCAATTTCAACAATGAGTGACAACTTGAACAAGATGGCATATTGCATCGCTAATTTATTCAAGACGTGAAACAGCTTTATTCATTATGCAAAGCAAATCCATTGTTTTCAGTCTATTACTTGGCCATGATATGTAAATATAATAATAATTAATAATTTCATTTATTACACCATAATGAAAGTTAACAAATCATTTTAGGCTGTTATGTAATATACAATGGAATGTTTATCCACAACTGGGTTTCAGAAAATGAATTAAAATTTACCACCAAATAGATTGTGCACAGTCAATTTTACATGCATCATATTTGTCGCTTTTTGTCCCATATCGAACACAACGTGCCACGATGACTGTAACGCTTTAATATAAATTTGAAAACAAAGTTGTTGGCTAAATTCAGGGTCATTTACCTCTCTTTATGTTTGAAATGGACACACCTGTTTCTTTACGTATGAAGTAAGACCTTTACGATCTGTATTTCACTTTATATCTTTTGTCACTTTAACTGTTTTATCAAACAATGTTTTGTAATACCTGTCGTATTGGGTTCTCTACCAGACTAAACACATATGCCACACCCCTCTTTCAATTTAATGGCATTTTGTGTGCGACTGTCAGCATGTATGTTACACTTCTAAAGTAATCAATCATTTTACATTCTTCATTTAAAGAAATGTTTGAAATCAAGAATAGTTATCGCTGTATTGTTATGAGCGTCAAGAAAACAAATTGTCATCACTTATAATATAATACATGTATTAATTCAAAATTTATTTACGGAGATGTATAAACAAAATTAAAAAGTTGAAATACAAATACAAGTATGCATCTATTTGCATATTTACTGCCATATGTTTTGAAAATGTAAAGTTTTGTCTATTCATATATTAATCTTTTCTCTATATTTATAATGGTCCAACCCTTGACGTTCTCCAAATGTATTCGCATGCGTTATTTACATATGATCTGCATATTGAACTATTATTTATTTGCATAAAAACAGATAAAAAAATCAAATTTTTAGTCAAATGTACAGACTGATTTACTTGCCATCTGAATATGTTTCACAAACTTGATGTAAAATAGAGTATCATAAAACAAATAGTTATGAAGTGATGGCCGAATAATTGAACTTTAGCTGGCGAAGATGATCTGAACTAAAAATGTGACATTGTACTCATTAACATTTTTGCTCTTCTAGTAACATGTACACTTTAATAAATAAAAGCATGTCTGTAGTCAAAATAATCATATTTTGATAATTCAGTTGTACTATTTCTTACAGAGATGTGCTACTAAATAGAGAAAATATGGCATATGTGAATGGACTTAAAATTTGATAGGCCGTACATAACATATTGTATTAAATATATAGAGGAAATAGTATGCGTGTTAAATTCAATCACAATTCATCAATGACTTACAAGCTAGGCGTGTAACTCGTATGTTACATGTTGTTAATTGCATTAGACAATAAAATGTCCTTGACATTGACAGATTAATTATCTGACTGGTTGCCTCTACTTGATTTCTATTGCACTTGTGGCAGGTATGTTGTGGTATGTATTTCAGGGTATTTGCCTGTCTTAGGCGTATCATTGCTAATGCTGCTTTCATGGTACTTTATTTGCTCCTGGAGTAGCAGGTGTGAGCTAAAATAATATTATTTGTTTTTAGTTCTGTAAAATTTTTAACTGAATTCTGATATGCATTCTTCATGCAGTTTCAAAATATTTGCAATAATCTGGAATACTTTATTTTTGCTGGAATTCGAGCATTTTGTATGGAATTTATTTTCACTGATTTTTGATGAGTTTAATGTGAAATATAGGGAAAAAAAGTATATTCACTGGATTTTATTTTCCCGGAATCATTCCTACAGCGAAAATAAAGTATTTTACAGTACCTGAATATGTTACAGTTGGAGATGTCAGTGTTCAAATTATTGTATAGTATCTATTATATTTCACGCTAGCAAGATTTCTTTCTTTTGTAATCTGAATGTATGTTAATATCAAAGTGCTTGTTTATCAAAAATGACTTGAATTATATTGTGGTGGGCGTGGCTTGGCAGGGGAAGAGTAAACCTGGATAGTGGTGGGGCTTGGCTTGGCAGTGGAAGAGTAAACCTGGATGGAGGTGGGCATGACTTGGCAGGGGAAGAGTAAACCTGGATGGTGGTGGGGCTTGGCTTGGCAGGGAAAGAGTAAACCTGGATAGTGGTGGGGCTTGGCTTGGCAGTGGAAGAATAAACCTGGATGGTGGTGGGGCTTGGCTTGGCAGTGGAAGAGTAAACCTGGATGGTGATGGGCATGGCTTGGCAGGGGAAGAGTAAACCTGGATGGTGGTGGGGCTTGGCTTGGCAGTGGAAGAGTAAACCTGGATAGTGGTGGGGCTTGGCTTGGCAGTGGAAGAGTAAACCTGGATGGTGGTTGGGCTTGGCTTGGCAGTGGAAGAGTAAACCTGGATGGTGATGGGCATGGCTTGGCAGGGGAAGAGTAAACCTGGATGGTGATGGGCATGGCTTGGCAGGGGAAGAGTAAACCTGGATGGTGATGGGGCTTGGCTTGGCAGGGGAAGAGTAAACCTGGATAGTGCTGGGGCTTGGCTTGGCAGTGGAAGAGTAAACCTGGATGGTGGTGGGGGCTTGGCTTGGCAGTGGAAGAGTAAACCTGGATGGTGATGGGCATGGCTTGGCAGGGGAAGAGTAAACCTGGATGGTGATGGGCATGGCTTGGCAGGGGAAGAGTAAACCTGGACGGTGATGAGCATGGCTTGGCAGGG